AGCTGATGTTGATGTGGGTTTGCTGTGGATGGTGTGTTGCTTTGAATGTTACAAGAAACTGTGAGATGACATTATCACTTTTATCTCCTTTGTTATGATGGCTGTCTTCAATGCTTCTAGGTCATTTTCCTCAGTTAGGAACCTTCTTTAGCAAATAAAAGACTATTCAACTGCAACCCTTGCCACCCTGATGTTTCCAATATGTGACTCGTTATTGATCTGTCTGTCTCTGTCGCCCCCTACTGTTCTCCAAGTGGTCTAGCAGGCCGTCACATTGCCCAGGCCCAGCTGATGCAGTCCTGTCTGGCTGCGGTCAAGACTTCCATGCTGGTGGTCCAGAGATCTCAGGACACCCTCAGTGTGACCCTGCAGGCCAAACAGGACCACTGCAAGCTGGAGGACACACTGGGCAGCCTCCTTGGCTGCTACATACATATCCTCACTGATGGTAATAAACCTTAAAAAATGCAAATGCACCACTGGCATGTGCAGAGAGCAAGCAGTTGGAAGCAAACGTGCAGATCTGTCTGTATTTTATTGCGAAACAACCATCCAGCCCTAGCAGTCAATCAATCAAACACTTATTCCCAGAAATGATTCACTACATCATATATAACACACACTTATCAGTTTACTCTCCCATGAGCAATAAATTCAGATTTCAGACACTTATAGATCATCAACATTTTGTTTCTTATCCAACACATTCAGTTCTATTAAATATGATGCATTGTGTCGCAGGGTTGTTGACAGAAAGTTGTTCATCAGCCAGAGACTTTTTTCTATCGGGTCATTCCATGCCTACTCACCGAGTGTCTCCCAGTTAAGGTCATGGAATTTCTTGAAATAAGTCAAGAAAAAAACTTGTAGCTAAACCATGGGATGCTGCAAAATCCCACAGCTCTACTCCAAATACTTTGTGAGTTATGAATTTTTGAAAATAAGCCCTCTGTGTTAAATTTTATAACTTAAGCAAGTCTTTTAAAGCATCTTTAAAGCTTCAACAATTGCTTATTTTTCACAGCATTTGGTGTTTTTTTTTTGTTTTTTTTTCACTGAATATCCCAGAAAACCTCCATCTATCCATTATCTATACATCGCTTAATCCTCACTAGGGTCCCACGGGAGCTGGAGTCTATCCCAGCTGACTTAGGGTGAAGGCAGGAGACACCCTGGACAGGTCACCAGTCTATCACAGGGCTACATTTAGAGACAGACAGGAGAACCTGGAGAGAACCCACGCTGCACAGGAAGAACATGCAAACTCCACGCAGAAAGATCCGGAGTGTCCTCTCAGGGATGCGAACTGGCGACCTTCTTGCTGCGAGGCAATGGTGCTAACCACTGATCCACCATGCAGCCCCCAGAAAACCTTTATTTTTTAAAAATAATCTTACTCATTGCTCACTGCTTTATTTTCAAAAGATGTGTGTTTGTTTCTTCAAAACTCTGCAAAAAAAAAAGTGGATCTCATTCAACCCATTTATAAAACGTTTCACAGTTTTTAAATTTTATGACCTGAAGATGGTTTGATAGGAAACTGGGTGACATCGACCACAATAGAAGTCTTTCATGTTATAGACTTTAGTGACTGCTTTGTGTTCATATTTGCAGCATTCAGATTACAAACATCAGCCTTGATCACGGTAGCAGGAGAAACAGATTTCTGGGTGTTTTATGGATGAGTGACATTTACAGTAAGGGTAAAATAAAAAACAGGAAACTATGAATTTCCTCGCTTTTCCTTACAGAATTTCTTCATTGTTTCTCTCTCTGCTTCTAGAGGAGTTCATCCAGTCAGTCCAGAGTACAGCTGGCATGGCCGTGGTGTTGCTCATCAGGTCTGTCATGGGCTCTGGAGACGACGTTGCTTCTGTGGTAAGATGAGGATTAAACATTATGGACTGTTATCTCTTGCGCAGATTTTGAGACGATTTACTGATGTTCTAACAGACATAAAACACTAGAAAATCCTAGTAAATGTTTATCTTTATAAATGCAAATCTAAACTGAGGAAGCAGCACATCAAAATGAGCCACAGTGTAGTGCAGTGCAAATGCAGCAAGACAAACATCCTCTCTCTAACTCCTTGAAAGATGTTTTAAGAAGACGCATCTATCCCCTAAAGCAGGGGTGTCCAATCCTGGTCCTCGAGGGCCACAATCCTGCATGTTTTAGATGTTTCCCTCTTCCAAACACACCTGATTCACATGATCAGGATTGTTATCAGGCTTCTGCAGAGCTTGATGATGAGCTGATCATTTGAATCAGGTGTGTTGGAAGAGGGGAGCATCTAAAACATGCAGGATTGTGGCCCTCGAGGACCAGGATTGGACACCCCTGCCCTAAAGTAATGGCATTTATTACAGAAGAAACATTTCTAAGACATTAAATAAGATGTAGTTTAAGGTTACGATCTCACAGAAACCTTCAGCCACTCTTTTGAAATGCTCTGCTCTGCTCTTGTCTTTGTGCGTGTCAGGTGTGCAGTTTGCTGCATAACTCAGTACAGGGTTTGGATTCAGCTCCTCAGTGGCTCAAACAGCGGTGTGAGGGTTTGTGTACCAGTGGACGCCCACCAGGTGTCTCTCTGTACCTGTGTCATGGGGCTCTGGCTATGTTGAGCTGGAAGGGGGCTCTCCCGGGGCCGCAGTGGGAAAAACTGCTGCTGTTGGTCCCAAACACGCTGCTGGATCTAGACGTCAGGTAGGTCTGCTCTGATACCTGTATGTCTGTTTTCTGTCATCAATCACAATTAGAATATGATTGAATATGAAGTGCTTCTGTGATGCTGCGCAGAGCTTCAATGCAAGTTGTCTGAACAAACTCTGATTAAAAACTCTAATTGCTGTTTGGTGTTGGGTGTAACAGACATATTAAGGTAGTTTTTATCTTTATTATAGTGTAAAGGAGTCCAGTACAGCCATGGTGGTGGCTCGGGTGCTGACCCTGTGGAGTGGTGCTGCCCTGGACTGTCTCCAGGGGGAAGCCCGGCTCTGTCCTCCCAGTCTCCAGCAGTCCCTCAGTGGAGGCTCTGAGCTGCAGCGACACCTGCTGGAGCACATCTACTCTCACTGGGAGCATCCACTAGACGGCGTCCGCCACCAAACCCGCTCCCTGTTCCGCAACCTGCTCCTCCTCCATCAGCACACCAACCCGTCCATCTCTGACCCAACCAAGGATCCTTACATCACAAACCTCACCCAAAATCTGCTGGGGCTGGAGTGGCACATGAGGGGGAAGTACGGCTCCTTGGGCTGCCTGGTGGAGCTCTACGGGGCAGGGCACCTGCTGGACATCCAGTCCCGGCTGCCTTCATGTCTCCTTGGCCTGATGGGTGATCAGACTCTTGCCCCTTACGCCAGCGACCTGCTGGAGAGGCTGTTTGTCAGCCACAAGACACAGCTGGCGAGCGCCGCTGGTGCCGATGCAAAGACGGAGGACTGGATGGAGTGTTGGCACCAGACGTGGGTAACCCCTCTGCTACACGTTCTGTGCCGTGCCAGGCTGGACCAGACCACGTACATCCTGGACTACTTTCTACCCAAGCTGCTTCGCTGCAGCCCCTCCAGTCTGGCACACATGGTGCAGGCCTTACAAAACACACCGCCCTGCAGCACAGGTAAAAGCATTTGTACAAAAACAAACTCAGTCAAAACCTATATGTCTGCAAACTGCTTTACTACTCACATATCAATGTTTCTCAACTTCACAGAGCTTTCCATTGTGACAGGACAGATTCTAGTTACAGCAGTCTGTCTTGCAATGAGAGCATTCATTAGCACAGTTAGAAGATGTAGAACCCCGGGTTCCTTAATTTGACATAAGATCAGCTTTTCAAAAGAAATCTACAGATCACATCATTAAAGGTGCAATATCTTTTTTTGTTTACATTTTTTAAAAATTTAAGTGCAAATGCTGCTAACGAGGTAGCCCCGGCCCATTCTGTCTCTTCACCACCTGCTGGTCGGCCTGGTAGCTTTTGTGGTGATCCTTGATGTCAGTCAGCTGCCTCTCCAGTGATTTTATCTTCCTGTGAAGCGTTTAACCCCGCTGTCTTAGACTGAAGCTGGCAGTGGTAGTCCTTGTTCGGCTCTCCAGGAGATTTGTTACGAGCTGAAAGGCCCGTCCAAACCAGAACCTGCAGCAGGTTGAAAATTAGTTCATGTTTTGCTATTTTGAATTAACTGAGGCTGCAGAGCAGAACGAGGAGACCATAAATCCACTGTGATGACATCGTCGATTACTGTTGCCAACTGCAGTACAAGACAGAGGAGTTTGAGTTTGTCCATTGAATGGCAGAGTCACTGGAGAGGCATCTGAATGACGCTGATGTCTGCAGCAACCTCGACCAGGCCGGCCTGTTGTCCAGGCCGCAACTTTTATGTGAATTACTTACATGTAGCTCTATTTAAGACATAAATAACAGCGCTGACCAAGTTTTTCCCAGGTCACATGAATTTAGCAAAACTTTTATTGTTGTGACACAGTTAGGGTGATGCTCATTGGACACTACATGTGTCTTAGAGGCGTAACTTATTTGTAAACAGAAGACAGTATGGTGGAGAAACAATCGTGGCGAGTCGGCTGTAATCCTGCAGAAAGTGGCAGAAAAATGAATCCATTTAATATCAGACTGGCAACAAGATGCATTGCTTTGTGAGTTGGACCTTTAGCCTTGAGTTTAAAGGACAGGCTTTGTATTCAGGAGCAGCTCGTCATGAGATCACAAGCTCAGTTAAAGAATTGTTATCCAGATCCTTAATCAAGATTCTGCCCTGAATCATCCAATTCATCATCATATGATCTTTTGGTCCTTACGATCTATGGCTAGATTTGTTCCACTGTGCTTGTATTCTTGTCAGGTCCTTCAGGCAGCAGGGGTGCTCTGGGAGCACTGATGACATGTCTGCGGGCAGCCAGGGCGCAGGGAGTCATACCGTCCACAGAGGAGGGTCTGTGGGGGGGACTGGTGCCCCTGTCCCTGCTCCAACAAGCACTCATACACAAACATGATCAAGTGAGTCCTTCTGCATTTACACTTCTGTAGGTATTTTAATGTTTATGTACATTTTATGTGACATCCTCTCTTACCGCCCAGGTGAGGATGGACGCTTTGGGTTTGGTGTGTGAGAGCCACCGCAGCACCGAGGTTCTGACCTCACAGGAAACGAACCTGATCCGCCACTTCCTCCCTCCTAATCTTAACAGCCAGTCACCAGGAATCAGACAGCAAACAGTCAGCCTGATGAAGAAGGTGAACGCTTCACTTGACATCACGTTTGATGTTTTACACTGATTGCATTGAAATGTTGAGCTGGTGGCCTGCAGTTAGCTCTGATGTTCGTTAGTATGCTGTGAACCGCAGCCCATGGGTTCATAGTGGGGAATTAGTGGATTTATTGTGTGTGAATTGTACCTGAGTACCACTGATTTAACAACTCTTTAGTGTTTGGAGAGAGAGAGAGAGAGAGAGAGGAAAAAAAAAAGACTTTATGAAACTTTGGTCTTTTACTTCACAGTTGCTCTGCAGAGTGAAGGACAGCACTCAGCTGCTGCAGAAGAAGCTGATCCAGGAGAGAGACGAGGAGCAGAGAGACAGAGACCAACACACACTACTGCAGTACAAGGTGTCGCACACACACACACACACACACGCACACACACACACACACACACACACACACACACAGAGAGAGAGAGAGGCTGTGTTTCTATAACATATTTTCATATAACATTTTTTGAGGACAAGTGTTGCCTTAGAAAAGGTTAAGGGAAATGGCAGCATTGAAAACAACTTTCTCAATTTTGCAAAGAGTTTTTAATGTTAACTTGAGGTGGTTTTTGACTTAATGCCATTCATGCCAGATGGAAACACCTCCTCTTCTTTCTTTACACTCCTCATTTTATTACATTGATGTGTAACGAAGCCTATACTGCCACCTTCTGACGACATCATGCAGCCTAGTTTACTCGCTTCGAAGCAGTTAATGAAACAAGTCCATCTCAAATTTTCTTCCTTATTTTTTATATTATTGCAACAGTTAAAAAGTTTGCCTTAACTTTACTGGACAACACGGTTAATGAGTTTCCATGTAGGATAGTTAATACTCAGATTTTTAGTCAGTACAGGTATTTTTGCCTAATGAATAAAATATAAACAAATGCTTACATGTGACGTCTGTCTTGATGTAGGAGTTCCTGCGCTGGCTGTCTGTGACGCTGCTGGAGGTTTTGCTCCCTGGAGCGTCCTTCTCCAAGTGCCTTATGTCCCTCCACCTGCTGGGTCTGCTGGGTCAGCTCTTCACCTTCAGCACCGGTACACCTACTGCTCACTAGTTAAAGTTCTGAATACATTACGCCATCACACTTCATAAAACATCACAGCTTTGGAAATATGTTCCCTCTGTTACTAATTATATATTTTTATGGCAAGGTAGATTATAGATATGCAATATTTAATATTAGTGGAACACCTGCGTAGTAGAATATGTATATTAAGAGTATTGTAGGAGCTCACTGTTCATTTTTACAGTCATTTCCTTTATTTGTCATCGTACACACAAACACCAACTTGTGGCTTTCGTATTCTGTCCAACATACTCACAGTAGTTTTGAGTTCAGTGCTTTGATCAAGGACACCTTCGCAGTAGTTTTTGGCACAATGAGATGCCACTGTGCGGCTCACAGCTCTGGAATACATTTTTCTGTTTGTGCCTGAACCAGCAGTCCACCCGTCACCGGCCGGCGTCTTTGCTTTGATGCCAGCCTGATGCTCCAGCTTCTTGTCAGTCGCTGCCCCCTCCTGAGTTTCTTCACCTCTTTCTCTCTGTGTTTCTCAGGCCCTGATGTGTTTGCCCTCGGAGAAGTTGTGACCTCTGAACATGCTCAGAATGTCCTCTACTGTGTTGCCAGCAATTTCCTGGAAGTCAAGCAGCTGGCCTCAGTGTTACTACGGCAGCTCCCTCCATCAGCTGTCGGCCTTCAGGTTAATATGAGACCAAGCTATGTCACTCATCTGGACAAAACTTTCTGTACATAATTCAAAACCTTTACCCTGTATTTAGGAAAAAAAAAATGGTGATCTTGTCATTATTTTTTGAAGTTAGACTGGTGAAACTGCAGTGTTCATTCCTTTGTGTAGATCCATATTTTTCAGTGATCCCAGTCGATAGTAGGATCTGTTAAGTCAGGGTTCATTTCATCTTAGTGGTGTAGTCCTATGTAGGTCTCTCTTGTCTTTAGGTGCCAGAGAGGATGTGCTGCGTCCTTCAGGCTGCTCTGGACCTCAGTACAAGCACCAAACCCTTTGACAGTGTTACAGCAGCCCACCTCCTCAACCTGCTTCTCCACCAGCCAGACCTGAGCCAGGCTCTGCTGCACTGTGCCCAGAATCAGGCTCTTGATTTCCAGCCTCGCTCCCCACCGCTCCAGGCTTCTGAGACGCTCATTTTAGAACTCAACACTCTGGCAGGTGAGATCCACATGTGCAGCCCTCAGAAGGTGTTTATGCATATTTGTATAGCGTGCACTAAACTATTGTTTGTCTGTCCTCAGTGGCTCAGTTCTTGCTGTGCTGTCTGCAGTCGGAGGTGTCGAAGGCTGAGTCGTCCCTCTTGCAGGCAGCTGCTTCCTGTCCTCTCTATGGCAGAGCTCACTGCATCACTGCTGTCCTACAGCATCTAAACACAGGGTGAGCACAAGAATCACAACAACAAATGCTCCACAGTAAAGGAAGAAAGCTTTCTGTGCAAACTCTGAGTACAACAGCATACTGTGCTTTAGTGCTTTAAACTAAATTGACAAAAATACGCCACCTGTTAGGAGCTGTCATGTCGAGAAAATTCACTAAATCCAAGCTTGAAAATTGTGATATTTCATCAAGAGCATTTTATTCTACATTGTCACTGACGTGTTTAAACAACGAAACACAAATACGATAACCAGACCCTGTAAAGTAAAAAAAAAGTCAGTGCTCCTCAGTTGTAACCAACAGTCACGTGACAAAAATTCAATGACTTTTTAGCTGAACTAGTAAAATTTCAAAGAAGTCTAAGTAGTAAAGTATCTTTATCTTGTAGAGCCACCATCCCCCACCCCAGTATTTGTAACACTAGCTACCAATGTTGAACATGTTGATTTTGAATTTTTTTTTTCTTAAAAGTTATAGCACCTGTGTCATACTGCACAGAACACATGTTTAGGTTCTCTCTACTTCTAGCCATCGTTGTGCTGTTTCCATAGAGATGCTCACAGTAAGTAATGATGTGATGGGGGCAAAAAAAAGCACGTAGAAACTGCTTGGATTTCAAAGGGTTAGGAGAACTTTCCTCTCCTGCTCACTTCTGGTGTGTTTTGGTGCTTTTTTTGACCAGTGCACATTTCTTTATGTGTTTTTAGGAGTTTGCTTCAGACTGAGCAGTGGAGATGCCTGGTGTCAGATCTGATCGCTGTGTGCTACAGGATGTCTGACGTGGTCTCTCCTGTGGTCCAGAGTTCCTCCCCAGAAGGACTCATCCCCATGGATACGGACTCAGGTTTACTCATTTTCCTTCCTCGCTGTCCTGTGTATGGCAAGTACAGTGTACAGACAGGTGACAAATTATTGTCTTAGTAAGGTGTTGGGTCACAACCTGCCACCACCACAGCTTCAGTGCTCCTTGTTGCTGATTCTCCTGGTGTCTGGAACTTTACTGGAAGGATCTACACCATCCTTCCAAAAGACATTCCCTCATTTGGTGTTTTGATGGTGGTGGAGAGAACTGTCAAACAATCTCCCACAGGTGTCCTGTTGTGTTAAGATCTGGTGACTCTGCAAGTCTTAGCATATGATTCACTTCATTATCCTCAAACCATTCAGAGAACCACCAAAACCATGTCAACAAAAATGCCTCTTAGAGTATTACAGAGACACTAGATTCCCTCACTGTAGGGGTCAAGGATTCAGGTCTGTCCTTTAATTTGTCCTCCCTCTATATAGAACCATGACAGCAGAAATTACAGTTTAGTGAAAAGGACTGGAAACAATATTTAAAATGTGACATGTTTGTTGTGTGCTTGTCCAGAGACCTCAGTCGGCCTGCAGAGGATCCTGCAGGAGATTCAGCCCAGAGACACCAATGACTTCTTCACAAGTGCAAGAGAGCTGGACACACACCAAGGAGATGATCACACACAGACCCAAACCTCACACACACCATCCCTCGACACAGGTGAGCTACTGATTGCACTAACTTTACTTTTTAAACTTTTTAAAAGTCCTGTGCGTCACTGTTTGGGTATGCAGTACCAGTGCGATCCTGATGGGGGAAGTGTTTTGCCTTATTGTGCAGGATATTTGCAAGATGCACAATGTGTCACTTCTAGGAAACTTCTTTAATGATTACCTAAACGACTGCCACTTCACTGCAAATAAGGAAAACCAAATGGCTCAGTGTAGTGTGTGTGTGTGTGTGTTCAACTATGTGTGACTAATGCGATTAAACAACAAAAGCAGGCACATTATGAGATGTGCGTGCTTCATATGGTTTCCACTGAAAACAAAGCTTTAGTTTGGCACAGTACACAATCAAATAAATAAATCCTTTGGTTTAAATTATTATCTAATAAATCAGAGAGTGATCAAACTTTTCCCATGTAATTTTTTAAGTATGTGAATGTGTGTGTGTGTCACTGTGTGTGTGTGTGTGTTGGCTGCAGGCGGTGAGGGCTACAGGGTGACAGCCCAGATGGTGCTGGTATGCTGCTGGCGGAGCATGAAGGAAGTGGCCATGCTGCTTGGACAGCTGTGTCAGAGTCTGCCTCTGCACTACACCAATGACAATGCACACACACACACCGGGCTCATCACAGAAGAACAGGTGAGACCCCCACACACTAAACACACGAATACATACTTCAGTCACATTCTCTTTCTGCTGTTACCTTGTACACAGCAGCAGCATCTAGTCTGCTTAGAAGCAGCAATGACTTTCAGTTTGAAAGTCACAGAGAAGCTGTCACTTT